AAAAAAAGTTAGAAGGGAGTTAAGGAATAGGGAAGATTGGTTATGTGATATCATTGTAGGAGGTGACAATTGCTTTCAAATATTTGAAGGATGGTTTTGAAAAAGATTGGATGTGTTGTGCTTGACCTCAAAGAGCAGAACTAGGAATACTGCATGTAAGTTGCAAAAAAAAATATTTTTTTTCAATTTGATAGAAGGAAAAACTTCTTAAGAATTACAGCATTGGGGCTCTACAAGAGGGTCAGGCAGACATTACATCAAGCCTAGGAGGAATTTTATGGGGGTTCTAGAAAGTGGAGAAGTGGAGCTTTAGAAAAAGGACTTCCATAAGCTTTATGACCCCTTTGTAACAAGTACTCTCCTCTGAATGATATCTGTACTTGCCAGAGAGTATATTTCTGCTGTGTTTTCTTTGGAGTGGTGGGTTATTTTATACAAACTGGTCATACTATTTAACCTTGGTAAATACCCCTTTTTAGAAACCCATCAAATCTGTCTGACATCAACTCAAAATTAATAGAGGAATTGTATTGGTGGAATGTTATAAGTATGTAAGTTTATAAATATTACAGAACTATTCCCAAACACCTCAAGGGCTAACCCTAGAACTTTGAAGGGAAAGATAGCTGTTATCTTCTAGGGACCCAACTTGCTGATCTGAGTGTGGGTTAGGAGAATAACCCCATAGTATATCCTACACATGTGAAAAAGACTCGAGGATCTCAGTGGGGGATAAGGTAAATATAAATCAGCACAGACTTCTTTTGGCCTGGCCACGATAATCCTTCTGGGGGATTCTTATCTCTTACTGGCCATCAACTTCAACAGGATCTAGTATTGCTACTACCACCAACACTACCCCCAAAATGAGCAAGAAACTGCTTTTCTTCATGTCTCCAAGTATTCTCTCTTTGGGGTTTCAAGGTATCTGCCTATAATAGATAGGTACCCTGCTTCTACCTTTTCTGGAGTGGTTGCTATCTTTAAGTATTTGAAGGGCTAGCAAGAAGAATTAGACCTTTTCCCCTTAGCCTAGAGAGGACATGGCAAAAAGACAAATTTGGACTTGATCTCAGAAAACAAAGGAACCAGCAAACAAAATTGCTAACAAGTAAAGCTTTCCAAATGTGGAATGGGCTCTATCAGGAGGTGGTAGGTTCCTACTCATGGAAGGCCTTCAAGCAACAGCTGGATTATGACTTCTTATCTGTAAAATGACCTTTCATCATCACCCTGTTGTGGATTTCAAATTCATGACTCATTGCCCGGGACCTTCTCACCCTTCAACATTGTTCTTCAATGTCACCCTCCTTTTCTCATTTGGTGAGTTCCTTGAGGGAGTTCCCCATTTGGGGAAAGAGCTTAGCTTTGTCCTTCTTTATTCTCCTGTTGTCTGTGCCTCTGAGTCTCCAGGCTGTGTCACCATGCCCTTGTACTGCTATCTTTGCCCTCCCTGCCTCACCTCTCTTATTCTCGTTTTTGTATCCCTAGCACTTAACACTGTGTCTGTTACATAGTGAATTTTTAATAAACGCATACTGCCTGCCTAATCATCTAGGAAAAGCTTAGTATGTGCTTTTCATAGCCACATCAAATTGTCCATGGGTTATATAGGGAGAATTCTTATTTAGATATAGGTTAGACTAAATGACTTCAGTGGTCTACTTCAATTCTGACGTTCAGTGATTCTAGAATTCTCAGAGGGATTCATCTTCTAGAAATTCTGTCTCATTTCCTCAAACCGTTCTAGACTTTACTAGCTAATATAAAGAACATAGAAGGTGGTCCTGTCCTTGTTTGAGGTTAACTCTACCCTCAGGTCTTAGGTGGAGGACTGACTCTATTCCCTCCTGAAACATCTTCCTAGACTAAATAGGCCCATTTAATCCTGGCTCCATCTTCCATCCACAGTATTGTTAGCTTGGGCCACATACTCCAGTGAGGTTTTTTTCCCCCCTTTTCAAAGCCACATGAATCATAGGAAAGGAACTTAAAATATAAGGCCAGCTGGGATGGACTTTAGAATATAGAATGTCAGAGTTTTGAGGGGTTATAGAGGACATGTCAGAACTGGAAGGTGTTATTGCTTGGAGCTCCCAGAACCTTTTCAAAGCTCATGGGAGCAGAGCCTCGGAGAGATACCCTTTCATATACATATACATACATATACATATACATATACATATACATATACATATACATATACATATACATATACATATACATATACATATACATATACATATACACATACACATACACATACACATACACATACACATACACATACACATGCACATGCACATACACATACACATGCACATGCACATGCACATGCACATGCACATGCACATGCACATGCACATGCACATGCACATACATATACATATACATATACATATACATATACATATACATATACATATACATATACATATACATATACATATACATATACATATACATATACATATACATATACATATACATATACATATACATATACATATACATATACATATACATATACATATACATATACATATACATATACGTGTCTTTGTGTGTGGGGGGGTATACATATCCCTTGGCTGTCTCAGGGGGCCCTAGCAACACCGACTCGCCAGATATTGGAAGGGTGATCCCGTCCACTACTAGCTATGTGTCGCTACAGCACATAAGAAAAGGGAAACACGCAAGTCACTAGACTCCCCCTGCACACAAGTCCATAATTCACTTGAAATTATCAGAAATCTTCTAGTAGACAGTAAACTCACTATGAGTCAGCAGTGATAGGGAAGACAAAATAATCTGAGTATAAATTAACCTTCATTAAAGGAGACAAAGCCGCCAATAAGAAGGAGGTGATCATTCCATTATCCTTGACCAAGGTCAAACTCTGTCTGAAATTTTTTCACTTAGTTCTGGTTCCCACAACTTAGAAAAGATATTGATAATCTGGGGAGGAGGTAAGGGAGAGTGACCAGGACAGGAAGGCCTATGAAGATCAGTGAAAAGAGCTAGAGTTACTTGGCCAAAAAGAGAGATAACATATGTAATATGGGCTGTCTTCGCATGTTGAAAGAGATGTTATGTGGGAGAGAAATGGGACTCAGAGGGTAGACTGAGAGCATTGGATAGGACTTGAAAACAGGTGTATTTTGGCTCAGTAGAAAGGAAAGTGAGAGCAACTCTATCTTCGTGTCATGCTCTTCTCATTTCTTTTTCCCAGCAGAAAAGTCAGCCCCATGGTACCAGGAAACCAAGTGAGAGAGTGGAATAGGCTTCTTCAGGAAACTGAGAGTTTTCCTTTCCATGGAGGTCTTCAAGGAAAGGTGAGATGCCCACATTCCAGGTAAATTGTAGGGTGGATTTTTTGGTGTGGTACAGCTTGTACTACATGTCCTATAAAATTCCTCCCATCTCTATGTGATTTTATGATTCCTGTTAAAAAATGGATGTCCAAAGCCCTTCTGTAATACCAGATCACTGCCCTCTCTCTCTCTGTTATTGGCTGCAGGAATGGACCTGCCCTGACCGTAGTATCTCTTTCTTTCTTTTTAATGTTCAAGGGTATCTTTTTTGTTCCCTTTAAAAAAAACATTTTTCATTTATTTTATTCTGAACTTAAAAAATAAAACAAGCATTTTATTAATACAGTAGAATAGAAAAAGATGCATATACATGAAACTGTAAATCTATTAAGTAAAACTTGCTATTCCTTTTAAATATATAATAAAGATATCATGTAACTTTCTTTTCTTTTCTTGTTCTTCTTCTCCTCTGCCCCCCTATCCTAGAGACAGCTACCATTACATGCAAATAAGTGTGCATATGTACATAATATATATATATATGCAAAATCATTCTATGCCTACTTCTATTTGTTAGTTCTTTCCCTGGATGCAGTTACTATGTTCCATCACATGTCTTTTGTAGTTAATGTGAGTATTTATAATAGTCAAAATGACTTAGCTGCTCAAACTCATTCTTAAAATAATATTGCTGTTACGGTTCTATTCATTTCACTCTTTGTTATTTCATGTAAGTCTATCCATGTTTTTCTAAGATCATCAAGGTCATCATTTCTTAGAGCACTGTAGGGCTGTAAGTATAAGATAAGATATAAGATAAGCAGTACTATTAGATAGTGATCATATACCACAACTTATTGAGCCATTCCCCAATTGATGAGCACCCGAACAATTTCCAATTCTTTGATACCACAAAGAGAAATGCTATAAATATTTTAGAACACATAGGTTCTGCTTATTTTCCCCTAATTACCTTTGTAAAAAGCCGTAGTAGTGAAACTTTAGGTCAAAGCGCAGAGAGAGCTTAATAAATCTTTGGGCATAATTCTATATTGTTTTCCAAAATTGTTGGATCAGTTGACAGTTCCACCAACAGTGAATTAATGTTCCCATTTGTCCACATCCCTTCCAATATTTTTTACTTTCCCCTTCAATCATTTTAGCCAATCTGATAGGTGTAAAACGGTATCTCAAGGTTATTTTAATTTGCATTTCTGTAGCTGACAACGATTTTAGAGCATTTTTTATATGATGACGAGTTGTTTTGATTTCTTCATCAGAAAATTGCTTGTTCGTGTCCTTTGACTATTTTATCAATTGTGGAATAGTATCCTTTTCTTTATCCAAGTGCTCAAGGGTCATTGATGCTTAGAGTAGATTTGAGATGGTGTTCTTAAATTGGTCATTCTTAAATGTGGTTGTTTATGTTTCAAAGACTGTCTGAACTAGAAGGAATCTTAGAAGTCATTAGGTCCAAGTTCTTTATCTTGCATTGAGGAGGAATGTGGAACTAGTGACTTGTCCAGGATCACAAAGATAATTAATGGCAGAGACAGGGACAGAAATGAGGAATTCTAAGTCAGAGGCTGGTCAGAATCAGAGTTCTTTCCATTTCATGTATGAGGATAACTGTATTTTCATGTCATGCTCTTCTCATTTTTTTTTCCCAGCAGAAGAGTCAGACCCATGGTACCAGGAAACCAAACACAATTCACTGAATTCATCCTCTTGGGATTTTCTGAAAAGGCAGATGAGCAGGGGCCCCTCTTTGGACTATTCTTGGCCATGTATTTGGTCACAGTGCTTGGAAACCTACTCATAATGCTGGCCATTGGCTCTGACTCTCATCTTCACACCCCCATGTACTTCTTCCTTTTCAACTTGTCCTTTGTAGATATCTGCGTGGTAACCACCACAGTCCCCAAGATGCTGGTGAGCATCTTCACGCAGAACAAGGCCATTTTCTATGTGGACTGTCTTGCCCAGATGTACTCCTTTATGTTTTTCATTGCTTTGGACAATTTCCTTCTCACTGCAATGGCCTATGACCGATTTGTGGCTATCTGTCATCCTCTACACTATACAGCCATCATGAATGCTCAGCTCTGTGGCCTGCTAGTGTTGATCTCCTGGATTATAAGCTTTCTGAACTCCCTTCTTCACAGCCTGATGGTAACACTTCTCCCCTTCTGTTCAGACCATGAAATTCAACATTTCTTTTGTGATCTTGCTGAGGTTCTGAAACTCTCTTGTTCTGACACTCTCCTCAATTATGTCTTGCTATATCTTGTTACTGGACTGCTGGGTTTTCTCCCTTTCACAGGGATCCTTTTCTCTTACAGTAAGATCTGTTCTTCCATTTTGAAAATCCCATCTGCTCAGGGTAAGTATAAAGCCTTTTCTACCTGTGGGTCTCACCTCTCTGTTGTTTCCTTATTCTATGGCACAGGACTTGGAGTACATTTGAGCTCCTTAGCTACCCACTCTTCCTGGAAAAGCACTGTTGCTTCAGCAATGTATGCTGTAGTCACCCCCATGTTGAACCCCTTCATCTATACACTAAGGAATAAAGACATAAAAGGTGCCCTTAGGAGGCTCATTAGCAGAATAGCCTCCTCTCAATGATGGGGCTGGCTCCTGGTCCTTGGAATAAGACACTGGTATTACCCAGGGAAATATTGAGAGGCAGAAATCTCGGATTCTTCCATTTTCTCCCCACTCAAATCTATCCTCCGTTTAGCTCCTACAGTGATTTTCCTCAAGTGCAAGTCTGATTCTGTCACCCTTCCCCCATTGAATACCAGTGGCTTCCTATTGCCTCTAGGATCAAATACAAAATTCTCCATTTAACATTCAGATCCCTTCATACCCTAAACCCTTTCTACCTTTGAGTCTTGTAATACTTTATTCCCTACCACACACCCTTGGCTTCAATATCCCCTCTTTAGGATTCTGTGAAGACACTCTATTTCTGGACTCTGGGCATTTTTTCAGGCTGCCCCTCACATCTGGAATGCTCTCTCTCCTCAACTGCACCTACTGGCTTCTTTTGCTGCTTTTTAGTCCCAAATTTCAAAAAATCTCTTCTTTTACTGGAAGCCTTTCCCAACTCCTCTTAATTCTAGTCCCTTTTCTTAATGATTTGTCAATCATTATCAATATGTATTAACTCAATTTATTAATTATTATTGTATTAAGCACTATTAATCCTGTATATACTTTGTTTTTATGCATTTGTTTGCATGTTGTCTCCCCAGTTAGATTGTGCGATCCTTGAGGTCAAGGACTGTCATATCTTCATTTTGTATCCCCAATACTTAGCACAGTGACTGACAAATAGCTGCTGCTTAATAAATGTTGATTGATGAATCTCAAGGTTCCTACCTTACTGGCTCACTCTGCTCATTCACTACAAATGACCTTGATCTTTTTCTTCATGGCCCCTGTTCCTGGAGTTTCCACCACAATGACATCTGGTTGAACATATCCTGCTTCCTCAGGATATTTTCTAACTTAAAAAAATGCTAGATATGGAGTGAAAAGGCCCTGATGTTATCCCTCAGCCTACCACTTATGATCCGTGTGCCCTTGGCCAAGACATTTAATATCTTTATCACTCTTCATTTCCGAAGTGGAAGTTGAAAGACCTGCCCTGACTACTTAACATTTTTTGTACATCAAATCAAACATTGTTTATGAAAGTGCTTTGTAAACAATGAAATGCCATATAGCTCCAGGACAGGAAGGAATCAATTACAAAACTGATATGGGATTTCATCACTGAGAGTCTAGGTGCCAATTCCTTCATGCCTTAGCAGGTATCCATTATGAGTTGCTGTGGGAAAAAAAAAATTGTCACATGGTGGCCAACGCTCTCATGATGAACTTCTTTGTGCTTTGCCTAATACCATAGGTGAAGTCTTTTTATTTAGTTGGATCTGGAAGAACTGGAGCACTGATGACACATTCTATAAGAAAGTAATGTCAACTCCATGTGACAATGAGACATGGAATGTGTACATTTGTGGAAAGTCCAAGTGCTTTCACATTTGGCCATGTCACAACTTTGCTTTAGATGCTTTCTGGGTTACCAATTATATCTAAGATAAAATTCCACCTCCTATGGATTTTAAAACCCTTCAAATCTAATTCCAACATATATTCCAGGCTGGATTTCACACCACTACTCAAACATTCTCCAATCAAATTCATCTACTTGTAACAATGTTCCCATCTCTCCCTTCAGAGCTGTTACACAGGCTGTTTCCCACACATGGAAGAGAGGCGAGCCTGTACTCACCGCTATGTCTTGGATGTTCTACCTCCATTCATTGCTGTTTGAGTACTAACTCCAAAAAGAATTCCTGAATTCCCCAGTTGTTAGTATTACTCCCACTCCCACAAATTTACTCTATACGTTTCACTTTTCTTTATCTGCGCACATCTTGAATTTTCCTTGCCACAAAGGAAGCTTAGAGAGTAGAGAGATTGCTTCATATTTGTTTTTGTATACAAAGCACATGACACAATACCTGGCACATTGTAGGCATTTAAAGAATTCTTGATATGGGAAACAGAGCCAAGATGGCAGAGTGAAAGCAGTGACTTGCTTGAGCTCTCCTCCAAACCCCTCCAAATACTCATAAAAAATCTCTCTAAACAAATTCTGAAGCAGCAGAATCCACAAAAAGAGTGAAACAAATTTCCAGCCCAAGACAAACTGAATGATTGATCAGAAAGGTGTATCATGCCGGGCTGGGAGCGCAGCACAGCACAGCATGGGCACGCAGGCTGCTGCCAACCTGGAGCAGGCCTCTGGCAACCTGGAACAGGCCTCAGAGGACTGAATCCCGGGCAACTGTGGAGGTTTCCAGACTCCTCAATCCACCAATGCCAAGGACAACTTAGAAGGTCAGTGGGAAAAGTCTGTTTCTGTCGGTGCTGAGAAAGGAAAGCAGGGTTTCAGCTCCATTCCCCAAGAGCGAGGCGCTGGGGGGGGCAGCTGCTTCCTGAGCTTCTGGCCCACAGACTGAGGGGGAATCCAGTGGCTGATCAGAGAGGGATTGCAGGGATCTCTCTGCCAGTGCTGAGACAGGAATCTCTTGCTATGCCCGTGTGTGGATCTGGGTCACAGTTCTGGGCAGCAGTGCTGGGGTGAGGAGGAGCGCTGGCTTGGTGGAGCTTGCAGCGATTGTGGAGAGGAGCCCCTCCTCACAGTTACAGGACAGAAAGGAGTACTTGTGGTCACAGGCCAGGAAAGGAGTAAACACCTCGCCCCTTATCATACCACCTTGGAAGAACTGAAAATTTACAGGGCCCTACAAGTATCTCTGAAAACAGCTGTACAAACCCCCCGAAGCTTGGGACAGTACATTCTCCACATTGGAAGCAGATTCTACCTTAACAAAGAGTTTAAAACTCAAGTAATTGGCCGGGATCATGAGCAAGCAGCACAAAAAGAGTCAGACTATATTATCTTACTTTGGTGAAAAAGAAGATCAAAATATACAACCAGAAGAAGACAACAAAGTCAAAGCTCCTACATCCAAAGCCTCCAAGAAAAATATGAATCAGTCCAGGCCTTGGAAGAGCTCAAAAGGGATTTTGAGAAAAGTAAGGGAAGTAGAGGAAAAACTGGGAAGAGAAATGAGAGTGATGCAAGAAAATCATGAAAACAAGTCAACAACTTGCTAAAGGAGACCCAAAAAAATACTGAAGAAAATAACACCTTAAAAAATAGCCTAACCCAAATGGCAAAAGAGGTCCAAAAAGCCAATGAGGAGAAAAATGCCCTAAAAAGAAAAATTGGCCAAATGGAAAAGGAAGTCCAAAAGATTACTGAAGAAAATACTTCCTTAAAAATTAGAATAGAGCAATTGGAAGATAGTGACTTTATGAGAAATCAAGACACAGTAAACAAATCCAAAAGAATGAAAAATTAGAAAACAATGTGAAATATCTCATTGGAAAAACAACTGACCTGGAAAATAGATCCAGGAGAGAGAATTTAAAAATTATTGGACTATCTGAAAGCCATGATCAAAAAAAAGCCTAGACATCATCTTTCAAGAAATTATCAAGGAAAACTGCCCTGATATATTAGAACCAGAGGGCAAAATAGAAATTGAAAGAATCCACAGATCTCCTCCTGAAAGAGATCCCCAAAGGAAAACTCCTAGGAATATTGTAGCCAAATTCCAGAGTTCCCAGGTCAAGGAGAAAATATTACAAGCTGCCAGAAGGAAACAATTCAAGTACTGTGGAAACACAATCAGGATAACACAAGATTTAGCAGCTTCTACATTAAAGGACTGCCGGGCATGGAATATAATATTCTGGAGGGCAAAGGAGATAGGATTACAACCAAGAATCACCTACCCAGCAAAACTGAGTATAATCCTTCAGGGGAAAAAATGGTCATTCAGTGAAATAGAGGACTTTCAAGCATTCTTGATGAAAAGACCAGAGCTGAATAGAAAATTTGACTTTCAAATACAGGACTCCAGTGGAACATGAAGAGGTAAACAGGAAAGAGAAATCATAAGAGACTTATTAAGATTGAACTGTTTACATTCCTGCATGGAAAGATGATATTTATAACTCATGAGACCTTTGTCAGTATTAGGGTAGTTGGAGGAAAAAAATTATATGTATGTATATGTAGATAGATAGATAGAGGGCACAGGGTGAGTTGAAGATTAAGGGGTCATATCTGGAGAATAAAATTAAGGGATGAGAGAGGATTATACTCAGAGAAGAAGAAAGGGAGAGGTAGAATGGGGTAAATTATCTCACAAAAAAAACGAAAAGAAAAGTCTCTTACAGTGGAGGGGAAATGGGGAAGGTGAGAGGGAATGAGTGAATCTTATTCTCATAGGATTTGGCTTAAGGAGGGAATAACATACACATTCAATTGGGTATGGAAATCTGTCTTACCCTACAGGAAAATAGGGGGAGAAGGGGACAAGAGAGCAGGGGGATGATAGAGAGGAGGGCAGATTGGGAAAGGGGTAATCAGAAGTAAATACTTCTGAGGAGGGACAGGGTCAAAAGAAAGAATAGAATAAATGGGAGGGCAGGATAGGATTAAGGGAAATAGAGTTAGTTTTTCACATGTCTACTATGGACGTGATTTGCATAACTGCACACGTATAATCTATATTGAGTTGTTTGCCTTTTCAATGTGGGTGGGTGGGGAGGGAGGAAGAGAGAAAATTTGAAACCTAAAGTTTTAAAAACATGTGTTTAAAAAAATGTTTTCACATGCTACTGGGAAATAAGAAATACAGGAAATGGGGTACAGAAGTCTATCCTGCCCTACAGGAAAATAGAAGGGGAAGGGGATAAGAGAAAGGGAGAGAGATAGAAGAGAGGACAGACTAGGGGAAGGGATATTCAGAATGTATGACATCTTGGGGTGGGGGGAGGGGGGAGATGAGGTGAAAATTTGGAATTCAAAAACTTGTGAAAGTGAATGTTGAAAACTAAAAATAAACAAATTTATATTAAAAAAAAAGAATGCTTGATATGAATTGACCTCACCTTGGCTCTCTCCCTTCTGAATCACAAAATCATAGAAGAGAACTTGAATGTTCTCTGCTCCAGCATCTTAAATCATGAAACAA